AAGAACCTCGTATTATTATTATTATTATTATTATTATTATTATTACATTCTATTTATCCTTCCATACCGTTTTTAATCTGATAATCTGACAAACTGTCACACTGATGGATTTGTTACTATGTATAATTAAAAGGAGCAGACATAATTCAATAGGCACGCATTCATTGGAAGGAGGTGATAGTCCCCCACAAGACAAAAAAGACGATGGAAAAATTATTGTACTTAATACAAGAACAGCAGGTAAGATTTTTCTCCCCATTATACCTCGACAATGTGTTCATAATAACTTGTTTTATCAAGTGTGTATTTGTCTGAGAAAGTGTCAACAAGAACTATTCCTCATATTCACTGATTGGTCGGAACAAAAGCAGCAACTTTTCATAACAAAATTGACTATTGAATATTCAGGTAGATATACGTGACCAAACTCTAGGCTGATACATGTCCTTTCAAGATTACAGAGGATTTCATCGCAATTTCAAAGCCTGTTGGTTTTACGAATAACCTGCGACGCAAACCCTTTGATCGACATCAAAGTCATCAGACTAGCATTTTTGCATAATCTGGATGATGTTACATAAAAAGTCTCATATTTTTGTGTGTGACATACTCCAAGGGTGCAATGAAAGATATGTGTACTGAAACCGTGACCATTTGATTGAGAAGATGCATTTTATTCTGACATGTGGTTGTTTATTCTGACAAGTGGTTGTTTATGCTGACATGTGTTTGTTTATTCTGACATGTGGTTGTTTATTGTGACATGTGGTTGTTTATTCTGACATGTGGTTGTTTATTCTGACGTGTGGTTGTTTATTCTGACATGTGGTTGTTTATTCTGACATGTGGTTGTTTGCATAACATATCTGTCACAACGTTCATTCGATTTCCATCCATCTTGATTAAAAAACGATTACTGAGAACATTATCAAACTCTTCTGATCCCCTAAAAAGACCTCCAATCCCTAAAACCTTCTTTGTAATCAGAAGAAATTTAATAAATTACATGTAAGAATGTTAACGCTGCTGCCCCTCTGTTTCAACGGTAAATTAGACAACTAACATTTGCAGTGTGTTGGTAACTTGAGCCACCAATGATTCCTAGAAGAACGAAACAGCCTTGTGATGCATTGTTACTCATTCTGATTTATTGTATCTCTAACCATATTTTAAATGTACAATCCCCTATGTGTGTTTGTGACGTTTTTCATTGACCGCATACCTTTTCAAAGTAGCAATCTGTAGAAATGTATTACCTCAAAGCAATCTTGTTGAAGATTCTGTAAGAAATAAATGAATAACAGAATGAGCTAGAAAATTTCCAAAATGAAAGTGATCATTAACAGGGAGATTTTTTTTATCAATTTTTGTATGTGTAGTTATTATGTTTGTGCATTCGGACGGTACAGGGTATCACATATTGCGATACTTATTGGACTGGAAAACTATGTTCCTAAACACGTAATAATTATATTTTAACGTAAACACTTACTCTCTTTCCTTGCAGGTCAGGCCGTCAATACTTCTTTCCAAACTCACTGGAATGACTCTCAAGGTAAGGATATCTAATTATTTAGTGCAATATTTTTATGCTCAGAAAAAGCCGGACATTTTTATTATTATGTTTTTGTATTTTTGTATTGATGCTCCGATAATTCTGGACCAAACCCTACTTATTGTCTAACTTAAATTCATAACAAAACATCTGAACACTATATTTTTCCTATTGGCTGACACTTGGGGCGTATTTAGTATATTATGACGTCATAGTATTATTCCCCTCTAACATATAACCCGGCCGCTGTTTCCTGTTGACACATCAAAAACGGTGCTATGACATCTAAAAAGAAAAATGCAACCGTCTCTTTCCTTTCGACATTTTATCTCAGTTTTTCGGAGCATATTCCAGGAAGTATTCGCACATAACATTTTGCTTCCTTAAAACCCACAATCAACACCATAACGGCAACGAGGCAGAATAATGATGTCACGTTATCTTAGTTTATAACGGCGCTTATATGTTTGAAACCAATTAATGTTTAAGTTATACAACTCGAACTATATATAGCAAACGATTAATCAGCCAAAAAAGAGTTCTGGCTAGATGAACTTCGGAAAATTACATTGCGTGGCTGAACAGTCAGTATCACAATAGTGAACTTTTTATACCAAATATTTGACGTGATAACCTGCATGGACTGGAAATAATTTTTGTTTTGAACAGCATCCGCTTCACAAGTTGCAAATGGAAATTCATCCCTACAGAGTCTTAAAGGAGATAAAGGAACAACTGGGACCACAGGACCAAAAGGGGATACTGGAACCACTGGACCTACGGGAATAAAAGGGGAAAGTGGTCCAAAAGGGGACAAAGGAGATATATGCACTACAGGACTGAAAGGGAGTAATGGGACCTCAGGGACTCCTGGAGCTATGGGAGCAAAAGGGGACCACGGACCAAAGGGAGACAAAGGAGAAATAGGTACTGCAGGGCCGAAAGGGAACGATGGAACCACTGGCACTACTGGGAATATAGGACCAAAAGGGGATCAAGGTCCTAATGGAGAGCAAGGAAAAATAGGAAATGCGGGGCCTAAAGGGAATCCTGGTACACATGGAATTAAGGGACAAACAGGGGAAATTGGGGGAACTGGAGCTATGGGTCAAAAAGGGAACTATGGTTTACCTGGGAGTAGGGGACCAAAAGGAGCTTCTGGAAGACCAGGTTTAAAAGGACAAAAAGGGAATAAAGGGACGCATGGGGCTGCTGGACCTTTAGGACCCCCAGGGTACATTGGTCATCCGGGAATTACAGGACGGAAAGGAGATGCTGGAAATCCTGGAATTGTGGGACAGAAAGGGGATACCGGAAGCCAAGGGACTCAAGGAGAGAAAGGGGAGACAGGATTAGACAGGACTGGTAGGCAATCACTTTTTTAAAACTCTATTACTATGATGTATTTTTTAATATTGGTCAATAAAGACGAATGTATGTATATCCAATCTGGAACATACTATTGAAACTAGTGTTGTGGCTTATAGAAATTCTTCTACCGACGTCAATAATGGTTGCGCAACACGAGTTGGTATATATTTCTACTCTTCATTCCTCCTATCTGTTCATTTCTTATGCGATCATTAGGTTATAAATACGGACTGTCAGTGATATGTCGAATGACGCCATAAACGTTCTGTCAATCTTTCACAACATACTGTAAACGTATATATTTTAGCGGTAGTACTATTTTGGCGCTTTACGCTCTATTTATGACGCTGAAGTATTTACCAATTGGAGTTTTTGTATATTGTTATCTGTTGCATATTTTGTCAGCGTGCCAATTCATCAATGAGCTAATCTGCCTAAATTCGATGAAGCGCTAACATTAGAGAGTGCTATAATAAGAATGATTACAGAACGGGTTTGCATTGTCTTTTTGAAGAGTTACGAAATTCTAACGAAGAAATGGCGGAGATTTGGTTTGGGTAGCTCATTTAGAACCGACAATTGTGTCTGCAGTTTCTAAGGATCCTCGATGTTAATTGCACAATATAACTTTGACAAAAAGGTGTAGCAAACACATGTGTTTTCATTTAGACATTTCGAATATGTAGATTACAACTCTGAAAGTTTATAAGGACTTTGAGTCCATGCGGTTTTCACGCTGAAGTGGCATTACACATAGAATACATTGGATTCATGATATCAAATATCTGTAACTTAGGTTTGCAAAATCAATAATGAGTATAGGGTTTTGTGCGGGAGACGCACAGTTTGATATCTCTTAAATTCCGTTTTGTTTTTTTGGCTCATTATATATACATAATTCAAATATTGTGTATTATATTTCCATTTCGTGAGTGCAATACGATACGAAGGGTATTTTGTGATATTACTCTACAGATTGTTGTTTTGGTTCAGTACTTCCTGAGTACCTTATACAATTATGGACTTCAGGTGAGGTCTATCCCTGATTTACGG